GAATGAGGAGGGGTATATTATTGCCATGTTCTCTGGGCCAATTGGAGAGGGTGACTCTCTTAGGATCGAAATTCTAGCAGTTCTTGAAGGAATCCAAAGAGCAAGAGAATTAAGCATCAGATGTCTAATTATTGAGGGGGACTCGGAGGTGGTGATTAGGTGGCTGAAAGGAGATATCAGTGGCTTGTGGAGCTACAGCAATGAGAAGAAAAAAATTAATTGGCTGAGTAAGGACTTAGAGGTGCAATACAGCTGGGTGAAGAGAAGTGCTAACTCAATGGCTGATGGGTTAGCTAAGCAAGGAGTGGCTAAGGATTCTTTGTTTTGGGCAAACTTTTAGTGTCCTCTTTGTCATTTTGAAGTTGGGGAGTTAAGATAGCTTACCTCCCCTTTTTCTGTAATTAAATTTCACAAGTATTATTCATTAATAAAGATTTCTGTTATTAATAAAAAAAAAGGATATCACTCTGTTAGGCAAGTGGCTATGAGACTCCCAATGGGAGAGATTGTGGCATCAAGTTGTGATTAGCATTCATGGCAAACAGGTAAATGGTTGGGATGTTGGCTTATCTCCTTGCACCATGTTGGCTTCCCCGTGGAAATTCATGGTAATCTCCCTTTCTTTCTCAATCTTTTTTAATATGATGTTTATTCTGAGATTAAAATTCTGTTTTGGGAAGACCTCTAAGAGGGGAATTGCTCTCTTAAGGATCATTCACTTTATGCTCTGTTCTCTCTTAAGAAGAAGCCTATCACTGAGTTTGTCCTTCCTTCCACCAACTCTTTTGGGTTTGATTGGACTCTTGGTTTTAGAATGAACATCATAGATTCTGAAATCCCTTCAACCTCACCCCTTTGACTCCTTCCTTTTCTTGTGCCTTTTTTTTTCTGAACCCTTTGCTTTGTAAATACTCCTTTACAACTTTTTCCTATGAAAGAGGTATGGAGCCAACTTATTCCTCCTGAGATCAGGGCATTTTGCTGGAAGGTGTACATGGAAAGATTAATACTTCTGATGACCTTAAGAAAAAAGGCCTAATTGGTGCTTATCTCCACACATGTGCTTCCTTTACAGAAATGGTGGGGAGTCTTTCTACCACTTACTAATCTGCTATCCATCTTCTCACTAGTATATAGGAGCGGTTTTTCTCTCTTTTTGTTTGCAGATGGATTTCCCCTATGGATTTGGCTAGCTTGTTTGCTTCCTCCACTTTTAGATGGCCAAGAAAGAGGGGTAGGGTCAAAAGAGGCAATGATTTGGTTAGTATGGGAAGAAAGGAATGCAAGGATCTTCAAAGATCAAGAAAACGGTATAGAAGCCATCATTGGAACCATTGCAGTCAGAGTATTGAAGTCTGAGAGTTTGAGCATCTTTTCTCCTTTCTCCTTTGATGATATTGTGGAGATTTCTTTTTGGAGGGGGGTGGCAAATTCTTACTCTAAGAAAGTGGTGGTGAAAAATTTATGGAACCACGTAATAGGGGAACTATCAAATTCAACTTTGATGGCAGTAGTTTGGGGAACCCAGGTCTATCTGGAGTAGGCGGTGTGTCCGAGGATGAACATGGAGGAGTTAAGGCAGTATCCTCAGGTCTAATAGGGATTGCAGACTCTTTTAAAGCAGACCTGGCTTCAAGGTGTCAGGCTAGTAAACCAATCTGCTCATTGAGGGTGATTCAAAGGCTATAATAGGCTGGTTAACCAATGAAGAGAAGGCTTTCTGAACTTACAGACAAGAACTTGAGGAAATTAAATGGTTGACTATGAAGTATGGAAGTTAGAGTTAAGTGGGTACCAAGATTGGCCAATCTGGCTGATTTTCTAGCTAAACATGGGGTGAACAGGGACTTGTTGAGCATTTATCCATAAAATATTAATTTCAGATTAAAAGAATAAAAGAAAAAAGGTAGAAGATAGGAAGAAGAGAGATTGAACAGTAGAATAAGACAGAGAGACAGTCTAAAGGGAGCAGAAAAAAGTAGATCTGCCACCCCATTCATTAACATATATAGGACATTTAATAAAATAGTGTACATAAAAATATCCCTGCGACTCTAATTAAAGAAAGGAAACAATAACAGGAACTAAAACCCATACAGAACAGACTGAAAACTGCCCGGAAAAGGCTAGCACCCACCTTCAATCCAAGGTTTAATAGCCTAAACCAAGATTCAACCTTCTTTCTTTGATTCTTCCTAGTTTCTGGATAAACCGCAAAATACAAGTTCTGGGCAGGAAAACAAGACTCCAAGAACTTCCAAGAATGAGGGTTTAATCAGTAGAAATCTGCAGCACTTTATCAATCTCATGCAGCTGGCTGGATCAAGCATACATGAGATCTAAAAGATTGCTGGAACCTGTTATTAGACCTGTTCATGGGCCGGCCCAGCCCGGCCCACATAAAATTCGAGCCGGGCTTGGGCTTTGCCAAAATAGCCCGGCCTGAGCCCGACCCGGCCCGACCTATAGTTAAACCTAAGTAAAAACCCTATGTGATGTCCATTTGAATAAATTTTTTTATTTAAGAAGGTTGTTGATTCACTTGTAGGCCCATTGTTCATTTAAATAAGGGAAAAAAACATCTGAATTAAAATAGATAATGTCCATTTGAATAGGGAAAAATTTGAATTTCTTTTATTAGGTCGGGCTTCGGGCTTTTTATCAGGGCCGGGCTCGGGCCTAACATTTTTCTGTTAATAAAGAGTAAAAGCCCGGCCTGAGCCCGGTCCGGCCCATGAACAGGTCTACCTGCTATGATACCAACTTGTCAAGCAGTTATGAAGGAAATATTAATTTCAGGTTAAAAGAATACAAAAAAAAGGTAGAAGATGATAGGAAAGACAGATTGAACAATAGAAGAAGACAAAGAGAGAGTTTGAAAAAGGAGAGTAGAAAAAATTAGATCTGCACCCCAATCTTTAGCATATATAGGACATCTTATAAAATAATGTACATTGACCAAAATATCCCTGCTTCCCTAATTAAAAAAAAAAGAAACAATAACAGGAACTAAAACCCATACAAAACAGGATATAAAGAGAATAAACAAAAAATAAATAAAAGACTAATCTGCTGCTGCATCTCTACAGGGTCAATTGTTTTGGGCTGTACTGTATTCTTTTTTCTCCTTTGGTGTATAGGTAGTATGTCTACCCTGTCCCCTGTCCTTGGATTGTACATAGCACTATATGGCCATGGTCAAGATGCAGTCACCTAGGATGACTAAGCACCAACTGGGTCAACCACACTATCATTTTAAAGCTTTATTTGTTTTTTGCATATCTAATTATTTGAAATAATATAGAATATGTTTGCATTTTATTATTTCATATCGGTTCTTAAAATATATGTAATGGAAGTATGAACATGATTGATGATGGCATACAATATAGAAAAAATCATAAAATAAAGGAAGGCAATGGACTTTTAAGTTTTCTTTCAATTAGTGATGTGTTGGTATGGAATTGTCAAAAATAAATGGCTCATTGAACACTCCAGATCTGCTACCCACAAATTGTTTCTACATCTCTATCCACGGCCGTATATTGGGAACATCTCCCCATGAATGACAAGGGAGGTATTTCCAATGCACAGCTGTAATGTCCCATGGGTAGGGATGTTGGAACAATTTGTGGGCAGCAGATCTGAGCCCCTCATTGAATAGTCAAGGTTGCATTCTTTCCTATCCAGCCTAACTTTTTCTTTGCTTGCTATAAATACCTGTAACTGGAATAGAATACAGAGAAAGGGGAAACTGAAGCTGAGAAAAGAGAAATCTCCCAATCTCCAGTTTGGTTGAGACTAGTGATCAATCCATCTCACCTAGCGCGTATTTATATATTCACTAAATAATATTAAGTTTGCAATAATATCCTTGTTTATGATAAATAAGGACTGGAGTGTTCTTCATAAAAAAAGTAAAAGGGCCAAACTTCCCTGCCACCCAGAGAACTATAAATAAAGTATAACAAGACCCATAGAAACAAACTAATATACTCCTAACACTCCCCCTCAAGCTGGTGTATATGTAGGCCTGACTTGGATACAATGAGTAAATCCATGGTCTATGCAAAGCCTTGGTAAATAAACCTGCAAGTTGATGTTCAGACTTGATGAATGGAGTTTTAACCTCATTATTTTGCAGTTTGCACTTTCTCTCAGATAAAATGCTAGTCAACTTCAATTTCCTTTGTCCTTTCATGAAACACAGGAACATGTATAGTTGCTCGGTCATCAGAATGAAGATGCATAGTCAAAGAGGTAAGGAGAGCTAACTCCTAAAGAATGCTCTTCAACCACATAAGATCACTTGTAGTATGACTCGTAGCTCAGTAATGAACCTCAGCACTAGCTTCAGCTACAACTTTCTGCTTCTTACTTTTCCATGTAACCAGATTTCTACCAAGAAAAATGCAATGCTCCATAGTCGATTGTTGATTTGAAGGAGATCCAACCCAATCTGCATCAGTATATCCAGAGATGGGAAGATGGCCATGATCCCTATACAGAATGCCAAGTCCTGGTGACCTTTTCAAGTACCGTAGGATCCTGAAAACAACATCTAAATGGGGGATCCTTGGAGAGCTCAATCCCCACAGCTAGTTACTTGACCAACAATTCATACACTATCCAATACTAAATTTGAATCTAACTTTAATTTCTTGCATAATGTATGGTCATGGGGTCTTTTGAGGCAGCACTTCCATCTCAGTATCATATACTCCTTTTGAGTGTTTAAGAGCCATTATACTACTTGTGTATATATACGTATATAATATATATTTGGTTTGGTATTACTGGTATTTCAAATCATTTATAAGTTGGTTTCCTGTTTTTACTAGTCTTTTTGGAACATACTTATCTTCTTGTTTTCAATTTTATTTTGTATATGTTGGGTTGTTCATTGGTGTTTAGTGTTTATATACATTGATGAAATATGAAATTTGGCATTGTTAACAGAGTTCTTCTATAATAACCCTTTCATTGTATGGGAAATGCAGAAGAGAATAGTTTAGGTGGCATGCTTCCTGATGAAGAGATGGCTGAGCATTCTGGGTCTGACTCAATTCCTGAGACTATGGATTGTAAAGCTAGAAATAGGATGTGCAATCTCCAACTACAAGCAAGGACTTACTCTCCAGCATCTATGAATTGTGATATATGCTGTAGTGAACCTGGTTTTTGTCATAATTGTTGTTGTATTCTTTGTTGTAAGACTATTAATTGGGCCTATGGAGGCTATAGCTTTATTAGGTGTGAAGAAAGGCTAAATGATAATTATATTTGCGGACATGCTGCACACATGGACTGTGCTCTCCGTTCGTACATGGCTGGGACTGTTGGAGGAAGCATTGGATTGGATGTAGAGTATTACTGTAGACGTTGTGATAAGAAGACAAGTCTCATTCCACATGTCACAAGTCTTGTACAGACTTGTGAATCTCTTGACTCCCAAGATGACATTGAGAAGATATTAAACCTTGGTTTGTGCATTTTGCGGGGTTCACAACAAACAAATGCAAAAAACTTGTTCAGTCGCATTGAATCAGCAATTAGAAAGGTAAAGTTGATCCATGGTGGATCTAATTTTACTATTAATGAGAATTTTCTTTTCCAGAGTTATCTTTTTCTCATTATATGGTTTCTCAACCAGCGGCATGACCATCTGATATTTACATCAGCTTAAACATGGGGCTTATCTTGAGGACATCTGGAAGGAGGGAGATGATGCACCAGAAATTTCAACTGGTTAGTGTGCTTCTGAACCCTTCATTACTATTTCCATAATGCCTCATCAACAATGTTCAGGCGCATACCACCAATATATGACAATACATAATTACTATTAAAATGACGGAGAAACTGAAAATTCCTTGCTTCTTGACATCATCACCATGCAAAACTACTACCAAAAGAATATAGGAGAAAAAGTTCTGTTTAAATGCTTCAAGGTGTATTTACACAAGTGTGTGGTCTTTCTTAACCATGCACTTTTCTAATGCTCACACATGTATACTGCTTAAGTTTACTTCTTTCTAGTTCACCTTGATTGTCACTTTACATTATCAAACCTTATCTCCCCCTTTAAACATGAAATAGTCCTAACTTGGAAACAACACAACCTTGTTAGGGGCTCCAGAATCTTTGAATGATCAAGATGTCTCAGATTTCAGAACAGACCTCGAAATTCCTCTTGATCTTGAACCAGAGAAGCGATCTCAGCAGCCCATATTCATAACCTCAGACCATCGGATTGCATCTATAAAACTTGAGGAGGAGATTGATCAGGTTCTTCAATCCTTGAAGAAATCGCAGGAATATGAGTACAGAATTGCGGAGGAAAGACTTTATGCTCAGAAAGATTTTCTTCTTGGCTTATATCAACAGCTTGACACAGCAAGGTCAGAGTTAGCGAAACCTACAGCATCAGCCACAAACAATGACTCTGATGCCCTACTCAGCAATGTATTAAACAGAATAAGTCAGATAAAGAAGGAGCTCATAAAACTTGCAACCATGGAGGAGGTGGCCAAAGGGTTTGGAAGAGTTTCTAAATCTATTCTAAGTCAACACTTTGGTTTGGATATTCAAGATTGAAAATGACATTTTTTATGGAACTTTTATGAGAGTATTTGTTTCTTTTCCAAGTGATGCACCATCCATGTACATTAGCTCAAATCAGCCCTAAGTAGGATGCAGACTTACCTTTTTCTATGATTTTTTCCTTCATGATAAGAATGTGATCGAGTCAGCTTGATGGTTTTGTAGCAACTTTTGAGTTTACATATTGGAGTAATTCTGAAGCCTAGAAATACATTTTTCAGTATCAATACCCTGAAATGCACGTTGAGTTGTAAAATGTTGCACCACGAGCAATTTAATGTTCCATTCCCACCATGAATGCAATGTCACAACATTGTTTTTACATGGGATGCAACATTATAAGCTCATATAGCAACATTTGCAGCTTGAGATGAGATGCATTTCATGGTACCGGTACCAACAGATGCGTTTCTGTACCATAGAATTTATTTGAAATTGATAACTACTGCTTTGCACGCATGATTAAACAATATAGTTACAGGTCTCTTCTTCAATGCTTATGGACTCGGTTCATCCTGTATTATCATGATTTTCAGACAATGAGTTAATAAAAAGGACAAGAAAAGTATGCTTATTGTGGGCTTCTTTGAAGCTTTAGCCTGTTTGCTTGGTATGTTTAGAAAGTTACTAATGGGAGGCTGCAATTTTATCCAGTATTTTAAAACCCAGACCACTTGTTGACCTGGAAAATTGGGCAGGTGTTGGGTTTGGCAGTTCATCAGGTTGGACCACTGACCCAATCAAAACCATTAAAAAAACCCATAACCTCATCAGTTGTCCAGGCAACTAGCTCACTGGATCAAACTGCTTGGGTCAATGATGGTTTGGAAATCGTGATTTTTGTCCTCTTTCGGTTAAGTTCTAAGATAGACTGGTGAATCTTCGAATCAAAGTTCAAGCTCAAGCGCCCACAAATTCTATTCCTAGCTCCAGTCACAAGTTGGCACTTTGGAACTCAGAGATAAAGTGGATAATTCTCAAGGCTTCTCTTTATAGGATGTTGCAGGTAAATTTACTATTCTGTCTTTAATTTATAAAAAAAATTACATATATGTCAAGTTGATAACCTCTTGTATTTTGGGATGTGTGATACTCTAGCCTCCTGCATCTTAGTATTTATTGACACCTACTATGTACTTGCATATTTGTCAAGTTAATGTCGAATTGGCTATTAACCATGGTTGTTAAGGCGTGGGTGCCAAACTGGAGCTAGGTAACAGGGGAGTGTCTAAATGAATTCTAGGCCTAATTCCTTGGTTTTCATAGCAACAGAAAATCATCTTTTACTAATAATTAGTAGTAATCATCAACTCATCATCGGCTATAAAACATATCAAGACTTAGAAAAATCAACATATTCATGAGAAGAAGAAAAAGTGAGTATAAAATCTTTGTCAATAAGATTGTCCCAGATACAGAAAACGGAAAGCTCAGAAAATAAGGAGAAAGGATGATAAGAAGTAGGAAAAAAAAACTGAAAAAAAAAGGAGCAGGGCCCCTATTTTTGCCCCAAAAAGAGAAGGAAAGGAAGGGGTGTGAAAGAAGAAAAGAAAAGCCTACATCTTTTCCCTACCGGTTGGTGTTGTGCCTTGTCTGTTGATTGGTTAAGGTATCTTACGTTCTTTCTTGCTTATCAATTGAGCTTTTTAAGTCTTCAAGAGCTGAAATACACTGACTTGCTTGTTAATCAATACCTAACAAACAAAAAAATAATAAAAATAAACATTTGTATGAAAATACTATAAAGCCACAAAATGAATGACTTAATATATAATGTCTTCTATAATATTATAAATTTACAAAATAAATGATATTATAATATAGTATAGAGCATAAGGATGGAAAAGGAAAATTGAGAAAGGGGTATGGGGGGACTGTGGTGGGGATGATTAATTAAAGAGGAGAGTATGAGGATGGAAAAGGTAGGAGCTGCAGAGGAATAAAAAGCCAATTGTAGGAGTTTGAGGTGAGTGGATTAGCTGTAGTAAAGAAGGTACCATTGAGAATGATGGCTGTCTGAGATGGGTGAAGGAGATTAAACAGGTGGTGGACTTGATCATGTATGGGCAATTGGTGGAGTTGGAGATAGTGGCAATAGACAAGATGGTGATGGATAAAATCTTGGTGAGATTTATCTTACTGATCTTTAAAGGCATTCTGATGCTGATTATGTGGTCAAGGCAAGTGAACTGAAGGAAATAATGAATAAATTAATGATGGAAGTGGTGACCTAGGGAGAATCAGAGGAGGTGATATTGATGTCTGCTTTTGGCTGATGGTAAAGCTTATATATTCTACCTTGTGGGAACTCCACTTAAGGCTGTGTTTGGTTTGAAAGAAAAAGTAGGGAAAGGAAGGAAAAGGTGGGGAAACCTTAACAAACCTTTCCCTTCCTTTTCCTACCTTTTCTTTCAAACCAACCACAGCCTAAAGTTTTTTTTTTCTTTTGTTTTTGGATTTTTTTTTTCAGTGAAGGAAGAAAAAAAACACACTTCAAAAACAGGGTGTAGCATGCCCCCAAAGGTCATCCAAGATCAAGTATTGGTGGCTGGGCAAGAATTCTCATAAACCAATATCTTCTTTGGCCATAAAATTTCTATTCATAATCGAGTCCTCGATGTCTTCTTTCAACTAGCTGATAAATAGGGTTCCACTATGATGCCGAAAGGACATGATACCAGATAAACTAACAACTATAGCCTAGATCTATTCATTCACTTATGGACCACTTTGGCAAAGGTAATGATCAGGGATACACTCTCACTAATGGAAACCAAGACTGTCGGCAGCCGATTTCAATCGTTGAGATTTGTTTTGCAAA